TTTTTTTTTTTTTCAAATAAACTGCTTTTTAGCCATGGTTATGTTTTGTCAAAAAAGTGTGTCAAATTTCCCATGGGGCTTTGGTCTGATTTTCTGCGCATTGTCTGATTTCATACTACAGAACTGACAGAAATGAACGTAGAAATTAAAAACGTGTGTGACAAAAATTTAACTTCTTTACTTCTTATCAAGTTTCGTAAGAAATAAAGCTATTTATCTTCTTTAACATTCTAAAAATTATAATTTTTCACTTGCAAAATTACGATCCTTTTAAATCTAAATGACTTTCTTGCCAGATGGAGTCTCGAAAGGTTTAGAATTTTTGAATTTACTCCGAAAGGAAAAAGTAAAAAAAATTGTCTAATCCAGATCGAATACAAATAAATTACTCAACGAAAATAAAAATCACACTTATATGCAAACTAGTATACATAAATACGTGGTACGCGAAACTCTAATAAGATTTTGCTCTAGCTTATCACAATTTTTCTTTTACGGTGTGCCAATGCTTCCACATGGGTATGGGTCTTTTATTTTGGGGTCTCGGTGTATCTCTTAAACGGTAGTGTCATAAAATAATAAACGTACTTATAAATATGTTCTAGAAAATGTTTCTAATAAGTGGTCAGGATAGTGTACACTTATTCTCATTCCATTTACTCACCTAAAATGTACTTGGAACCGAGCTTGTGCAGGCTGCAAAACTGGTAGTAGCAATAGAGCACTGCCGTGCAGCGCACAATCGTCATCAGTATTACATCGGCCGCATTGTATTCGGCTTCCAGGCCATCGCACGACTGACTCCAACCGTGACACGGTCGATGCCGACTAGATGTTGCCGATGATGCGGTTGTGGATGGCGGCACAGACGATGAGGACGACGACGCGGATGAGGTTGCAGTGGAGGCAGCACCCACACCGACACCCACACCTACACCAACACCCATGCCAGCGACGTCAGGACCAACGCCAACACCGACGCCGCCAGCTGGTTTGTCAACTGTCAGCATGCATGCTGTCAGTGTTAGTAGCGCCACAATCACCTCCCACGGATGGGACGCACAAAATTCACCGTGTGCACGAAATAAACGTCCAATCATTTTGGCGACGAATCTCTGATTTAAGTACAATTTTGGCGACGATGTGCGAAATGTATGGCCTGAATAGAGAATCTTGAAGTTGATGTGCGCGTTGTTTTTGTTTTTGCTTTTGCTGCAACTTGCAATCACAATGATGTGTTGTAGGTAAATGTAGGGCGTAAGCGTCACTGCTGCTTTGTATTTCTGGTATTTTACGTAAATGTCAGCACAATAGTTACAAAAGTACACAAGGTAAATATTAGAGGAGAGTGCTAGCGGGGTAAATCGTCGGAAATAACAAATTATTGCAATGATAAATAAATATGTATTTTAGTTTATGTTGTCAGTCAATCACATCCGTTGCCTCTAACGGATTACCAGAAGTTGTTGCATCGTGTGTGTAGGTTTGTATAAATGTATGTATGTATGTGGAGGATTACTTGTCCGTCAGCAAACAATTTCGAGTGCCAATTTGTTTGCTGTTGACGCTTTTCAAGTGCAGGTGACGTTTTGCTAACACTGAGCAAATAATCACAAATCACTGTTTCCTATTTGCTTTTATTTAGTTTAATTTTTATTCGGTTTATTTTGGAAGCAAGCTGCAACAATTTCAAATATTTTTGTTGTTACTATTCTGGTAAATGCCAGCCAATTGAGATCTGCAAATAAAAGATAACAAGTTGTTGAATAATAAGAAATATATTTGTATAGCAAAAGCATTTTTGTAAAAATACTACACACATATACATACATACACAATGCGGAGCAAAACTGAGTACATGGTGATTTTTCTTAAATATTTACAATGTTTTTCAAATATTTTTTTTTTTTTATAAAAACATAGTTCATGCTTTAATAAAAACCACACCTTATACATAATTTAAAAATTTTGAACTTTTTAATCAGAAATTTTAGTATAATAATAAATGCAATTGTGCACAATACTGCCTATGGATCTACATATATCAAGGGTATTGGTCCAAAGAGGCTTAGACACTACTACTGTTGGTTGGATCGACGCTATGCTTCGTGAGCAAAAAATTACATCGTCCTTGGACAATACTCAAGTGAAGATCAGAACCGTGACAGGCTGCGCACAGGGAGGGGTCCTTTCCCCCTTGCTTTGATCACTTGTGTTGGACGACCTCTTAATAAGACAACATGAGTGTGATTACGATGTTGTGGGGTACGCAAATGATCTGCCAATTATAAATACGGGAAAATTCGGCAGTACTGCCTCGAACGTTACATGTGCAGCTCTTCGTGTGGTCTCCAACTGGTGTGCCAAAAAGGGCCCCAGCAAAAATCCTCGGAAGGCTGTTCTTGTACCATTTACAACAAGGTATAAACCAAACCTTGGTTCGTCACTCTTGGATCGACAGTGCTTGAACACTATGATGAGAGACTTAATTGGAACTACCATCTTGAGAGAACTGTTGCTAAAGCCACACGGGCCATGTGGGCCTGCAGAAAACTTTTTGGTAGAACATGGGGATTGAGCTCAAAGCTGAAACGAGTGGCTCTACCGTATGAGCGTCCGTCCGATTGTGTCTTATGCATCTATGGTATGTTGGCAGACACACTGCAAAAACTGCCATAGTTCATCTTAACAAACTTCAAAGATTGGCATGCCTATCCGTCACTGGATCTATAAGAACGTGCTCAACAGCGGCTCTAGAGTCACCCCTTGGATGGACTCCTCTAAATATTTTTATCCAGGAAACTGCAGCGACTAGGCAGCTGCAACTGCGACTATCTAAGGACGGCTTCTAAACAAAGGAGCTTCATGCAGCTATTTTTGGGAGGATACGAGGGTTGGAAAATATGCGGAATCTCTGATTACGTGACTAAAGAGGTCTGATTTGCCAGATAGATCGAAGTGATAGTCCCTGATCGCGAAGATTGGCAAATGGGCTGCCTGCACTTGCTCTTAGATGCGTATACTGGTACGCAGACGGTTCAAGGATGGTGGACAGAGCAAATGCAGGTATTTTTGGAGCTAGCACCAAACTTTCAAATCCCTTGGCAAATGGCTCACGGTGTTTCAGACTGAAATAGTCGAAATTTTAAACTGCGCAAAATTAAACCTTGAAAAGGGTCTGAAGGGCGCCTTTCTAGTTGTCTTTTCGGATAACCAAGCAATGGCTGCCAGGACTATTAAAAGCAAGCTGGTTAGAGACTGCTTTAACACGCACAAATATTGGGAACTAAAAACACGCTAACACTGTGCTGAGTACCAGGCCATTGTGGAATCGAAGAAAATGGGGTCGCCGACGAGTTTGCATGAGAAGGATCGCTAACTACCTTTTCGGGACCTGAACCATACTATGGTGTCTGTTGGTCCTCTTTGAGGGCCATAATTACTGAGTGGGTACACTCTGAACGCAGTGAGTACTGGGGAGCAGTGGGTGGCCTTAGACAGTCCAGGCTCTTCGGAAACCCTTTTAACAGAAGAGACATTATTTTAGAAAATATAAATGACGTCAGGCTACTTTCTGGGTACCTCTATTTTTCATTTACTTATGTATGAGAAATGCCATTACCGACAAGGACCTCTTTAAATATTTTGTATACTTCTAAATAAATATTTTACATAAAAGCCGGATTTAATTATGCAGTTATATATGAACTACAGTAATACCGGAGATTATTTTCACCTACCGCAAATCTCCATAACTGAAAATGGCGACAATTGAACGCGATTGCGCGAACATCGACAATGATGCACGGGTTCACCAACCCAAAATGCGTAGCTTATGCCATCACAAGGACACCAGCAGAAACTGGCAATCGAAAACTCAAATCACAACGTGCAACGAACAAAGAGAATGCAACAATGTATTGTAATTGATATACAATAATTCTGTGGTCATAACCAATAACCGCCTAAGTCGACTTAAGAAAGAATTGAGTTATATATGCTATCGTATTCTGAAACTACTATTTCATGTGTGTGTGAAATCCCCATCTCGCCAGCTAGGCTATTTAAAAAGTTATGGACGAACATATTTTGGTTTCCCCATAAGGTTAACATTACAATCCAAATGTTTAAGACATTTTTTCTCGAATTCAGGTTTCTCGACTTAGGCAGCTATTGCTTATGACCGAAGAATTTATCGATCATCGCTTGACATTATTTCATTATAGGAGCATTATTCACACTTGTGACTTTTTTTTCAAAAATTATATGTAGTAGCTAGGAAAACGTTTGACTCGAGCAATAGCGGCTGTGGTTGCTGGCTATCTTCGCTGCCAATTACAAGTGGCTAGCGGCCAAGATGGGCAAGATGTTGAATCAGCTTGGCAAGCGCTATTGTACTGTTAAGCGGCTTGTAAGGTAGATGCTAGTCAGGAAGGTATGCATGAAAGATTGTAACTAGGGAATTTATAAAAAAATGCAAAATTATCAATATGAACTTGAGCTGATTGAGCTTAAAAAATAACAATAGTGGAAGTGAGAACGATAAAAAGCTTCCTATGAAAAGGACAATGCGCAGAGACCAGGGCAGTTAAGTCAAACCGATTATGTTTGCTACATCGCAAGCACAAAGCAAGGCGCTTAAGGAATATACTTATATGCATGTACATACATATGTATAAGCATAATATATGTAAACACGTAAATTGGTGCATTGTAGGATTATATATGTACGTATATATATACATAGATCCATAAAACCATAACTATATAAGCAAGTATTTGTGAATGCATAAATGAGTTTCTGAATGCAAATATTTTAAGTTTCTAAATAAACCTATTTCGTTGCCCTTAAGTAATGTGCCACATATCTACATAAGTATGTATGTATCAGGGATGTTGCGAATATTTGCATTTGCATTCGATATGCGAATGATTCGCATCATTTTACACATTCGCATTCGACATTCGCATTAGCATCAAGTGATACCAATGTTTGGTGAATGCGAGTGTACATGGGCAGAGAATCCAATCTAATATTGTTTAAATGGCTCTAATAGTTCATTTCCACCAAGGCAGTTTATGACGATTGGAACAAAGACATTACAACTCGAAGGGAGTAATTCCTTCTACTAAGTACAAGTAAACGAAAGGAGAAAAGCGAACACTAAGAAATAAACCTCGCCGCTCACCCCATGTTGAAATTCTCAGAACTTATCTGAGCTCTTAACTGCAGTTGAGCATCTGGTGGAAATAGGCTATAAGTCTGTCTAACCAGGTTGCGGACAATAACCGGCTTTAGCTTTAGGCGCTAAACGGTTATGTAGTATATCAAGCAACATAGATGGACCTTCAACAAGTACTGCTAAAAGTCGTATAAACTACCTAGAAATAATTTTAGATTCCTCCAGCGAAAGCGAAGGCTCAGATGTAGAATCTGGAGACAAAAAAAAACTCAGTGCGTGTAGTCCCTACGCGCGGAAGAAGTGAAACTTAATAGACGAAATTCTTCATCTTCATCTTCATCTTCATCTTCATTTTCATCTTCATCTTCATCTTCATCTTCATCTT